TGCCCAGTCGCGCACACTTTGGTGAGTGGCAGAACCCCTGGCATCCTGGATTATATCTCACTGTCAAAGGCCCTTTCTCCATTTAGTCTGGCCCTCTCACTGGCATTAAAGAGTGAGAAGTCTTTCATTGAGGCAAGAAAGAAGACAATTCATGTAATCTTTTCTGTCTTGAGATTCACTCCATGATGTGAGGGTCGACAGCTCACTGGCTTTACCTTTGCCTGAGTCAGAACCTCTCCCTCAATCATCTTGTCTGTGGGGATTCTTGCCCCTTCCCAGTCCTAGACAAATTCTGGGACCCCTGGGACAGTATAATTATACCACTGCTCTGGTAGCCGGTTCTCCGTGGCGCCAAGGACTTCACAGAGAGTAGCCACTGCCTTCTCAGTGGTCAGAGCGTCGCGTATGCCTCTGTCGCTTGATGTGATCGCCTAACCTGTCCTGGTGGGCTCCACCTTCAGCACATTGACCACATCCCCCACTCTTTGAATGTTTGCAATGATTGCCTGCTGCACAATATATGGCTGTAACTGAGTGATCCATTTCTTTAACTGAAGAATGATAAAGACTCATGGGTCCTCCTGCTGTTTTGTGCCCCTTATGGGGCCACTTGACTGACTGATGCTTTTGAGCTGCAGGCTAACTTCACTAGCTCTGTCTGCTGGGGAAGCTGCAGTCTTGACAGAGGTAATCTCAGAGACGGCAGAGTTTTTCCCTCTCTGAGCAACACCCACTCAGATAGTCAGCTCTCTCATAGCTGTTTTTACTGCATTTGATTGTAAATGAGAATTCAGAGCAGCATCTTCTCTCAGAATTGATGCTGACTCAGATGTGCTATCACATATTTGACAAATCTGTCACAAAAATTCAGATAAAGTCTGATTGATTGTTTCTTCTTTTCAATTCAGCTGTTCAAAGTCTTCATCAATCTGATGAGAGCTTTCTGTTGCAAGTTTTGTTGCTGCTGAGCCTTCTCAAACTGCTTCTGCAGCTGAAAGGTGGCTGTGAGGATGCTGTCACTGACTTCTTTAAAAACTGGAGGAGACATTGTGACCGTCTTCCTCTGCCTCTTGCCAGTCTTTTCAGTGACAAAATTGGTTGGTGACTCCGGTTTCAGTGGCCTGATGTAGGCTGTGTCGATGTCCTTGGGCGGACGGGAGGGCGTCGAGAGCTCCATGACCACTCAACCTGTGCAGTACACACACGTAGAGAAATCGCACAGGGCATGCGATGATATTGAACAGGTTGGATGGAGGGTTAAAATTATATGAAAAACAGTTGGAAAAGTGGAAAATTCAAATGTACCCCTACGTTCGTGATATTAGATAGTGAGCACCACTACAGTATTAAAATGTAATATAATAAAACTAACCCTCATTTAAAATATAAGAGGCTCCTACCTAGTTTCTATTGCCTCAGTTTGTTATCTTTTCATCATCAGTGCTGCTTTCAATCATGGCTCCCAATACTGATATCGCCACTCGGGCGCTCATGGTGGCTCTCAAATCACCTTATATTGCAAAAACTATAGAAATCTCTCCAGCGTAGCACGTCTCCATGCCCTTCGGAAGGCTTCTGAAACACGGGCGCTGCCCGTGTTTTCTCCGGGACGTTAAACCTATACATACATACATACATACATATTGCAAAAACTACCACTATGATCATGAATATTACAAATCTCTCTGCTCGCCAAATCAACTGTATATATGCCAGAGTTCTTGAACATGGCTTCAACTCTGATCTTCTCTATCTTATTATTCATAATGAATTCCTTCAAGATGCTCTCTGCAGTGGCAGATCTACAAAACAGACTTCTTCTATTCAAAAGCAAGTATTAGCAAAGATGCATTGAAATTGATATGAATGGAAAAAATTCTGTGCCACTGATATTGCTCTTGAATTCAGTGATAAGGGCTTTAAATATTGCATTCAACACTGTATGAAAGATCTTGCAAAAAGCAGGCATGAAAAAGATCAAACCTACTCAAAAACCTGGCTTGATCAATAAAATGAAATATGAACAACTTCAGTGGTGTCTAGATCATCATGATTGAACTCTAGAAAATTGGAAAAAAATTATATGATCAAATGAAACATCTGTTATATTGCTTCATCATCATGGAGGATATCAAATTTGAAGAATCTTCAAGAAAAGATTCTCTTGAAGTTGCATACATGAGTGATAGAAGGGGTTTTCAGAGTTCATATTCTGAGGTTGTTTTTTATATGATAAAAAAGGTCCCTGTCACTGCTGGAGTCCGGAAACTGCTCAAGAAAAGGCTCAGTCAGTAAAGGATATAGATTCTCTTAATGAAATGATGGAATCAATCAAGAAAGCAGAATGGGAGCTTCAAAATGAAATATGATGTTTAAACCTTCATCAACTGCCAGGACCTCAACCAATATGAAAGTGGAAGAAAGAGACAGGCAAGCTATCCCGTGGCAAAAGTAATGGAATTGATTGGTATCGATATCAGGTCAAAATCCTTCTTCCAAAGCTCTTTCCCTTTGCCAATGAGTGTGAAAAGAAACGTCCAAATACCATTGTCCAGGAGGATCGAGCTCCTGCTCATGATCACTATATTCAACATCATATATATGAGATTCATCACATTCAACGGATGCTCTGATGTGCCAATTCCTCAGATCTCAATATGATTGAACCTGCTTGAATTTGAATGAAACGAAAAACAATTGTCAAAGGAGCTCCACAGAACCGGGCATCAGTTATAGCAATATGGGAAAGAACATGAAGGGATCTACCACAGAAGCAGA